ATCTGGAAGTGCAATCTTCGAGAGCCTTTGCTCACTCGCAAGATTACGGAAATGCAATGAAATAAGTAATTCTGATCTCCATACAGAATGTCTTCGAATCTACTGCACAAATCATTGAAGTGATTGGAGGTGACTAACCCATTGGAAAGGCTGGTATCTGTGGCTTCGATACAAAACAGTTGAAATTCCTGGTCGAAGAGGAGAGTTCATGTCGTCATATGTACAGGGAGTCCCAAGCTATAGGCGCCGGGATCAAGAAACTGGTGAGGTGGAAGTAATCTATCAAATTCACTTTACCTGCTGTTCATAAGTCGCACAAGTAGGTTTTTTTGAAATATGCATAGTTACTGAAGTGAAACTCCCTGTGTGTTCCGAATGGCCGAGGCTCACTTAATGCCGCTTGCAATCGTTGGCATGCGGGAGGCGAAAGAGCATAATATAATTCTTTGTGCTTCCTGTAATATGAGTGCATAAGTGCACAAGGCTATCTAACGATACGAATGAGAAGATTCAGAGACAAACCAGGAAGGAGTAGAAATGTAGGTGTTCTTAAAGGCATAAATATAAAAGTGATCCGTTTGCAGACCGATCGTAATCCTGGGTGTTCCATCAAGAAGGAGGCGAAAGGGCAGGCTTCATCAAGATTGTCGGTGGGGCGATTTGGCAAGCAAAAGCTTCATTGCAGTTCCTACCTTATACAGAAATGCCGTTTCATTTTCGATTCCAGCGGACAGTTAACTGCCTAAAGAAGCAGAAAGTTGCTAATTCACTTGAGTGAAAATACGCGTGGCTCTGTTGTTTTCTCTAGCCGAAGAAAACATTTGCAAGAAAACTATTCATTGACAAATAAAACGATTACGTACTAGCGATGAATATCGAACGTGCGATCTCTCTCAAAAAAAGTTGCTAAAAAACAGCAAAATGATTTTTTGAGGAAGTTACTGGCAGGAGTGAAACGCTTGTGGTTACGCCGGTTCCAGCGTTGAAAGTGACAAAGAACTGTGCTAGAAGAGGACACAGATGTATGCAATGGAGCATTAGCCCGAATCCGCTTCCTAAGATAGCTCACAGTCACTCCAGCAGGAAAGCGTTCCAGGTCACAGCCGAGCTCGCCCGTGAAAGATGTCCACGCTAGCGGCCCGACTCCATTAGGGAAGAGGAGTGGCCATCTTGCTTCCCAGATCTTAGCTCCCTTGACTCCTCGGCAAATGTCCTCGATTAGAGGAGTACCTGTCGGGTTTCCCGTTTCGATGCCCTAGTAAGCAAAATTCAAGGGGTTGTAAAAAGGAATGGAGGATACCTGTATGCAACATGCCAGGAGTTCGTGAGCAAACTTTGGGCTTCTATCCGCGCTCATGGGTGATAGTTGGAATGTGATTGCAGCATGTTAAAGCGCATAATGTAAGCAAACGTGCCCATACAGGGTGCGCTATAAATATGTAACAACTTTTCGGATCTCCGCAATTTCCTTGTTCGGAGGGTTTCTCTAAGGCTGTACCTTCCCTTATGTTTATGATTTACTCTAGGCCACATATCTGCTTTGGTATTCTCAAGTCATCAGATTTTAAAAAACGGTGGAGCCTCGCAGACATCCACCAACCGTTACGTCCTTGAGCGCATTTGGTGAATCTTTTTTCCGGGATCGCTCCTCGTTTCAACATTTCCCACATGACAGTCTCTTAAGTCGCGATGTGTAGACAGGTCAAGGAGAAATCCAAAATGCTAAGCTAAGAAGCTTTGACTACATTACCATGAAATGGCGCCCATAATTTTGGGACACTTTGTACAGGGTGCGCCAAAAACATGAAAACAACTTTACGGAATCCGCTATTTCATAGTTCGGAAAGTTCCTCCATATCTGCACCTTCTCTTATCCTCTCTCTTTATTACATACCTTGGCTAACCTATATGTCTTGGTGCTCTCAATCCGTCATTTTTCAAGAAATGGTGAAGCCTTGCAATCATGCAGCAGCCGTTCCTATGTTGCGCGCATACGGTGAGTTCAGTTTCGGAATATTTCGTCGTTTCGACACTTCACGCATGACAGTCTCTTGTACCGCGATGCGTGGACAGGTCAATGAACAGCCCCAGGGCGTCGTTTTGTCTCGATTACGACCATTTTCGAATACAATCACTCGGGAATGATTACGTTACGAGAGTTGCAGAATCGCGAGGAAAATGACTGTCGAACTGAATGTATGTTCTTCTTCAATGAGAATGCTCTTCCCTGATGAATACAATTGCATCCAGATAGGTTTCAGAAGCCTTACAAACTTTTTACGAGAAGAAATTTGAAAGGAAAACAAAAGCCGTGCCCTACCCAAACACTGTATGCACTTCAACACAATTTTTTCTGACAAAAATGTGTTCCGTGCAAAAGGAGTGTTTAGACTCCGGAGGACACGTATATTTCTCACTACAAGTGCAAGCAAAACGAGAAGGGTAAGATCGTTTTTCAAAACCATCTTCCCCTTCTATGATGGTTTGGGCTGGAAGCTGTGCCATCAGAGCGAAATCATTTTTTTATGGAAAGGGTACAAATATTGATCAGGACATCTTATGAGGGACAATTCTGAAAAGGTGCTGCTCAGGGTCCATGATCATTCCAGGGATACGATTTGGAAACACTCACGTACTTGCTCACGATTGGAAAAAGATCAGGACTGCTGACGAGGAGATGCCTGCAATCTTACCACTGCATCCAATTTTCCTCCGAATTTTTCGGCCCGCAATCCAATGGGTTTGTAGGTGTGATGTAGAGAGGAGTCTGCGCTCCAAAACCCACCGCTTTTGCTGCTTTTCAGAAATCGTCGGAAAAGATTTGGTCCGCTGTCCGTGATAGCTGAAACACCTTTGAGCTATACTTAGTAAAGGACGGTTATATCAGAATACCGTACGCGTTCATTTTGTTAATGCGATGCATAGTGGATAGTTCACGTACAGTCACCTTGTATCAGGATGCTTTTCTGCACGACAATTATTTTGTTACCATATTTATGGCGCACCCTGTGTATGCAGCAGCTCGAGTATTCACATGCTCGATATTGATTTTTCGGGGAAGCACAGATGAGAAGATGTTTAGGTCCCACTCATCACCAGAATCGCCACCAGCAGAGCTGCCCAGTTCTCTCTTTTGGACACAAATACATAGATCACTAGGCAGATATAAGCATGGCGAAGAGATGGTTTGTGAACGAATATTCAGTTGGAGGCCATTGGTTGAAGATAATTTATCATCGGTCATGTAGGAGGCCGATATTTTCACGTGCTCATATGCATTGACCGCTAATTGATGACTGGCATATTACGTGAATACAATTCGGTACGAAGGAATCGTTTCCTTCTCAACAACAACACTCGATAAATTCAACAAGTGAGAAATTCGTGATGTTGATTGCTTTCCTAAAACGGAAATCAAAGCTCAAGGTGGAACATTTGATGTAACGCGAAGTAGCGGAGCAGGGGAAGTTTCAAGATCCTATTGTCTGCGTGAAACATTACAAAGTTTCTCTTGGCACCCCAAATAGATCAAGTACTATGTCGTCGGACTAACCGAAGCATTGTCTGTTTTTCGGACTGCAGAAGCACTATTTCTCGAAGCATGCAAAACCAGCGGGTCAACGGTGTTGCGTCTTCTTCAACACGCACTTGGCTATGAACATCTATTTGTAGGAAGATCTCGACGTGCTCGACTTAACATCTCGACGTGCGCCTCGCGATAAATTTCGGCATTATTGTCAAAATAGCTTCATTGATATAACTCCACACAGGATTCGCAATACCTCGTTGGCTTATGTTTCGGCAAAACCGTCATCTTCAGAACCCGAAAAAATAGAGTGAAGTTTATAAAACTCGATCAGACACCTCCACACCCTGCAATATCTCCGAGACCAACTTAATCATCTCACAATTTCAAAAGAGTTGAGAAGTACCGTATCTCTCCGATTGACAGAACCAGCCCTCGTGAACATCGGGTGTCACAATTCCAAAATTGACAGTCAAAGGCTAACCTTATATAGCGAATGAGCTCGCGCATAACTGAACCGCATTCCCGCTTTCGGAACCGGTCTGATACGTCGGCGTTCAATTAAGCAATTTGCAGGCAGACATAAAATATACTTGCTAGCCGGGTGAATCTATAGCTAAGTAGAGAAACAATAGAGCAACCCCTGGACTAGTGAAGAGAGGCAGTTTCAGTCAAATCCGCGGAGACAGGGATCCGCAGGGACACTCGTAATGCTCCTCGAAGCTTCGTCAATCGCATACCAAGATGAATCCCCCTCGTCGCCTAAACGGAACAATCACCACACCTAGAAGGGCGAAGGTTATCCACATCAACAGCTATGTCTCTCTCCTGTCTACAATCTTAGACAAGATGGATATGTAGATTCTTCATTTCTCCCTTCCAAAATTTGACATACCGTTACGTCGATAAAATCTCCCCGACGTCCGATCTTGACAGTATTAAACCAGGACGTGGAGAGCCTACTATCAGTTATAGCTAGAAACTACGTTTTATAGCTAAAACTCTCTACGACACCTCTTGAAATGCAAAAACTCACCTCATAGCAGAATAATAGCGAGACTGTGTTGCTGTATAAAAAGGAATGCCCAGACTATAATGACAGCTATGGCCCAATTTGCCTGCTCTCTGTATTTCATGATTTTTTCCACGCGAGCCATATTCAACAAGACTGGAAGAGGACTGGATGAAGAACAGTCGTGCGAGCAAGCGGGATATCAAAGAGAGTACAGTAGGATCGATCATATTCATACGTTCACAAGATTCATTGAAGTATCATGGGAGTACAAAACACCATTATGTCTGCCGTCCGTCAACTTGAAGCTGATCTCCTAGACAGAAGCTGTAATTTCAAGCTGTGGCGGCTGACATGCTCCTACTCAACAAACTAGGCATGATTCATGAGCTCGCCTTCACTTTCGCTACCGAAATCCCGCTATTTTACAAAAAAAATCATAGTTAGCGTGAAGGAGGGGGTTTGACAAAGCGGCATATTTCACCTGAATACTTCGTTGGTTCTCAAGAACTCAAGAACATGTTATTTGGAATGGGCATGGGAGTGAAATTTGACGAGCATTACTTACGTCACTTCCCTTTGCAGAAGATGTAGTGCTTGCCACTGGACCTAGCAAAGCCGATGGTTTTGGGAGGCGGATTGATACTTGGTTTTTGAAGAAGGTCTTCCACCAATGGCCCTAATATGGTAAAGCGGCCATAGTACTCCATCAAGCGTCGGCACGCTTGCACTACGCTTTGAAGCTGTGGCTGATAGAGCGAATTAAAGGTTATGCTCGTAATGAAATCAGAAATGTCATGAAGGGTGGAACACTTCACATGCTGTTAAAAAACATTAAGCGCAGAAGGCAGTCCAATCTCTTTGCCTCTCTTGGTGAACACCAAGTAAGCGAACGGGTTTCAAATGCAAAATCTCGGCTCACGATGACAATACCGGGGACGGATTGACAAGTTTCCTTGCATGATCCTGAGCTGAATGAAGTAGGCGTTCAGTTTTGACAGTTTTGTCCTTTATGCCTTACGTAACTGTGTGAGAAGTGCAATGCTAGGAACTTGACACGCCGAATATACGGAGAAGAGCTCTGTGGTTTTATTTATTGACTCGAGTTACTGCTTGCTTTGGAGTTTCTGGAAACTAACCGAGTATGATCTGTAAAATGAGCGATGAGATCAATTCAAATTTCGGCCCTTTGGTTTACTTTCATTAATCTTAAAACAACGACTCCAACGTTCAGGTGGTTTCATAACAACAAAGGTACAGCACAACAGTGGATCACGATATCAAAAGACTACCCGAAAAGTATTTTCAGCCTTTATCTTGCTCCAACAACGCACTCATCGGCCGTGATTTATCATGCCCGAGTGAGATTTGTCCAAGGGATGCCTCCTCCATCTCAAAGGGAGAATGGGGACAGTGGAGTTTGTGGACAACATGTACAGTTTCGTGTGGTGGAGGCTATAGGAAACGGTGAGGATATCGTTGTAGACATTTGGCGGCAAAGCCTCAGAAGATGAAATAGTTTGGCATTTTTGCTGGTTTCTTCTCGTTCCCAAAACGCCTTTAGGTCTCGTTCCTGTTCGGTGAAAGGACGTTGTGATGGTGCTGAAACAGAAACAGAACAATGCTCGAGTAGCCTTTGCCAAACTGCGAATACAGCTGCTGGGTCTCATTGGACAATATGGACCGAGTGGAATCATTGCTCAGTCTCATGTGGCCGTGGATCACAAGCTCGCTATAGGAAATGTGTCACTACTCAACACACTATTTCTTTTGACTGCCCTGGTGAGCGGATCAATGAGCATGCCAGCATTCGTCAAACGCTTTATAGAGGTGCAACTGACTTTCTAACTTCGTAGTATGCTTTATATTATATATTTAATACCAATTAACGCAACGCTTCATTATTATTGTGGATACTACTAACAATGCTAAAGATGGATTGTCTACGAAAAATCAGTTGTGATTATTGCAGTCATTTCTGATGACACCGTAATTTTCCAGATACAAACATTGAGGTTCGAGCATGTGACACTGGCGCCTGCAATGGAGTAGGTGTCTGGCTATCGTGGTCTGAGTGGGGTACCTGCTCGTCAACATGTGGACCAGGCACAATGCTCCGCCAGCGAGGATGCCACAAGGTTTTTGATAGCCTTTCAAGGCCATGGAAAAAGTGCATACAGGCAACTGATTATTGAGGAACCCTGTGATGGGTCTGCACATGAGAGAAGGTCCTGTAACATTGCGATCTGCATGCTGACGTCAGGACAGTGGGGTTCGTGGAATGAGTGGTCGGACTGTAGTCGTATATGTGGACGTGGAATACGGTCACGAAGCAGGTTAGCGGTTCCAGTGTTCCGTGGCGATATGTGTATTAGCAGAATTTTTTTGAGAAGTTGCATTGGTTCCGGATGCTACGGCGTTAACAGTGATCTGTCGTTCTGTAATGAGCATCCATGCGAGGCGCGTATCGGAGAATGGGCTGGATGGTCTTCATGGAGTACATGCTCGTCAACTTGCGGTGCCGGAGTGAAAAGACGCACTCGTTACTGCCGAACAGGAAGTTGCCCTGGAAATTACAAAGAATCAGCCATATGCAACGATCGTGAATGCGAGAACCGCAACGCCGCATGGGGAGGTGAGTGCTAGCATTTATTCAGCAAAAATTATGATAAGAATTTTTCAAAACCTGGAGCTTGTTGATAAAGACAAAATTATAGGCTGGGGATATTGGTCTACATGCAGCGAAACATGTGGCGAAGGCATTAGAAAAAGAGTTAGAAAATGTTACGGTAGCGGTCAATGTGGAGGAAATGAGTACGAAAAACAATCATGTTTTATTCGCACGTGTGACAACGTTTGAATACTATCAGTTTTCTAATGAGAACGGATTACAGCCCTGTGTTTATTCATTTTCACAGACTCCTTGGCGTTCCTTATATTCTCAATCTTGGGGCAGTTTTTACATGCCATGACAAGATATCATGCGCTGCTAGGCGCAGTTTTACGTCCTTATAGCAAGATTAATAGGAAAACCTTTATCATGTAGAATGAAACTCATATGCTCCTTGTCATCTCTCATGATCAGAAAATAGAGCATCTGATCTCGCCTTTAATCTTCCTCCATACTTGCCAGAACATACTTTCCCATATACCAAGTCGTTCGTTTAGCCGTGAGTTTCATTACTTTCCTTGATACACTCATTTGTGATTGCCTTCGTTTTTTTTTTTTGCTTTGTATATAATGGTATTTTTTCAGTGCATGTACTTCAGTTGGGGACTTTTGAGGGGAACATTCGTCTATCATTTTCTGGAATGTCTCATACGGTTATCAGTGATATTTGTTTTGTTACAAATTCGAGTTATATTCTAACATTTTTTCCTTGATTTCAAATTGTTTTGACGACTGATAGTCGCGCGTGCGGGTCCCTCGAACTAGGGTTGTCTGCTGGCAACATGAACTGATTAGAATAAAGGATTGCTATAGTAAATGGAGAGCATAGTCCTGAAAAGTCTGCCTCTACATATTTCAGACCAGTGTGCGACGTGAGGGTTGTAGCGATTTTTCTGTTTAGACACCAGTCGGCGTCGTCATCAAAATGTGTAAGTGGAGTGGGACAACTTCATGCTTATTTATTCACCTTGTCAGACGTGTTCACTTTTTCCATGTCGACCATTCAGGAAGATGGAAGCTAATGAGAATATTGCACTATTATTTTGTACGTAATTAAATGAAAAGTACTGATGTGCTGCAGTGCCAAATGGCTCGCAATCCCCAATTCGGAAACCGAACTCAGAAGGGGAACGTGCCCATTCTGAGCTTTCTGGTAGTCTGAGTCGCTGAATTGGTACCAGATCTTACGGAAAGTAGACATCGGTTGGCCTCCACAGCCAATTATGTAGATCATATACACACTCAAACCTCATTGATGTTCCAAATGAAAGTCGGATGCAAGAGAACGTCGCACATTGGACCGGCTAATGCCAAATATTTTTTGGTCAGTTCTAGGGGATAATCTCTAATAAAAAGAGGGACTTCTGCATTTCTCCCAGAAATATATTGCATAGTGGGTGAGTGGGATATGAAGTTGTTATCATAGACGGAATTCGGCTCTTATCATGTCTTGAAGATACTTTGCCCGTGATCGGAAATTAAGATATGTCTCGAAGTGGACTCATCTTTCACAGTGAATAATTAACAGTGAGACGAACATTTGCTTCGATATTTTCGATGGAAAGTTGATCCGATTAATAACCTACAGGAACACTGGAGGACAACTGGCTTCTATTTCTAAAACCCCATTTTAATCATCAAGCTTCATTAAGTTCGTAAAATACAAAACGATGGTATCTAGAAATACCGTACGACTATGAAAAAAACGAAGTCATTGGAAACGTGACCTAAAGGAATTGTGACGTGCCAATTGAATATCAACACACTTTAGAGGCCCTACACAGGTGAATGAGCAGCAAAGTTCCCGCGCAGCCTGCAGTTTATTTCATTTATTCATTCTGTCATTTCGATAGCTCAGGGATTGGGTCAACTCCTGTCCCTGATAACAAAGTCACGCACCAGAATAAGAGCCTCTCGTCTGGAACCAAAGCACAACGGGTTATTATGCAAGTTTGTGGTCACTTTCTCACAAGGACGTGAAAGTGAATACTGAACAACATTCAAGCCAACAGAAGCACGGCTAAAAACTTAAACGACACGAAGCTGCTTGATGTGACATTCTTACATAACACATCAACTGAATGACGTCAACCGAATACTACTAGGTTGTCCGGGAAGCTTACGCCGTTTCAAATCGCCTTGGGTTCACCAGCTGAGGCACAGAAAATGAAGGACCTAATTCCATAAAGTATATATTTGCTAGAACGTAAGTCCTTTTTTGCATCAATGTTTAGATCCTGTTAATATTCCTCAAACATTGTGAGTATAAGACTCGTGTGAAATTTGAGAACCAGAGCGTGCATTTCCGGCACCGCATGCCTTTCTTCTTCCGCAAGGACTAGAACGCGGCTGGAGCCGCAAGAACGTCCCGTTGAGTCGAATAGGTCAGCTCGTATCTTCTTGTTCGATACAAGCTGATGCACCTTTTTGATGCTTCCCATTGCCGCCCACGCGCTTCTTTTGCCACTCCCAATCTCTGCGGTAAATTGTTGCCCATAGAGGCAAGACGGGAGAGATACTCATAGGACTCGGTGAGCGGTAGTGTGAGGCCTTCGAATGTAATGGGTGACGCACTCACCCACCATTTCGCATGACCATTATCTTGATTTTGTTCATCGTGAGGCCATTGGCTTTGCTGACGTCATCCATCTCCTCTATAATCTGCTGTAACTCCTCTTGGTTTTGGCTTATGAGGACAATATCGGCAGCGGAGGGCGAATTCACAACTCTTTATCGTCGATGATGATGTTTCTGTCATACCACTCCAGTTCCTGCATCGCGTGGTTGAGTGTGGTAGTGCATGTTACAGGAGATATCGTCATCCTGCCTGACTCCTTTCCCAGTTGGCACGCCTTGCTCTCGTTCGAAGATGCCAGTGGTGGTGAGTGTCTGTATTGCATTGATCCAAAAGGACGACGTAGCGTGGGTCGAGGCCTGCGTGGTGCATGCGTTCCAGGGAGAGTTAAGCTCCACACTGTCAAATGCTTTTGCATAGTCGAGGACTGGTTACTTGTACTTCTCGGTCCCCTCTATTAACTGCGGGATTGTCGCAATAAGGTCCATACAACAGAACCCTTGTGAAGGCCGGCTTTCCGAGTGGTTGATAGCCGTCCAGTTGCCTCTCGAGTCAATTCGGAATAACTTTACTAGAAAGCTTGTACGGCTGCGAGAAAAGCGCAGTTAAGCGGTTTTTTTACTTGCTCGCACTTGCCTTTCTCGAACAGAAGCGACGAACCGTATTTGGCATCTTTCACTAGCCCTGAATCTTCAGTGCTTCCAAGTACTTGTTATAGCGCATGGTGAGCTGCTCAATGACAGTGTAGGACGTCACCTTCAGAAAGTCCGCCGAAATGCGGTCCGGTCCAGGTGCCTTTCTCGGCTTCATCTGGGACATGACGCGTTTTTTCCATATTTCTATCTGCGAAGCCATCTCCTGTGTTGGCGAAGGGATACGAGAAACTGGTATCGTCGGGCTGAAGAGGTTCGTGTAGTAGGTGATGTCTATTGTCTCAACCTTAGTTCTCTATGTCTGCGGTCTGCTCATCGCGTCCCTCATAACCATGACGACTGAGCGAGGGTCATTAAAATCCTTACGACGTCACTTAAGGCTCGTTCTCGCTCTTGCCGCTTCCTTCAGTAAGGTGTATTGGTGTCGCTGATTCGACTGTCTCACAGCGATGCGGCACTCTTTGTTGATCAAACACGTTCTAGTGGCGTGGATGCAAAGTTACAGTAAAAGGCAACCCGCTGTAGAAGGAGGCTGTGCATGCATTTCCACTGAACCTGCTCTTCAAACTTATTCTTGCTGACAAAGCCGATGCGGTCCGCTGTGTAGAAGTCTTTCTAGGGCACGTCTCGTAATCTTGTGACAAGCCCTGTGCCTCCTGCCACGTGTACTGAGCAGCGGTCACATCCATGGCACTTGTGCCGTACTGCGGTAGTCGTAAGGGAAGGTGTCAGGAGTGATCTCGTCTTAAAAGTTTCGCTCGCAGGAGGACTTCGGCCCAACAAGCCTGAGGCCGCTTTTGGAATGATATGCGTTCGCCACACTGACGTTTAGCAGACTTCACTTTCTGTTAGTGAGAACGATTTCATTGGTAGTCGCTGCATTGGGGTGCTCCCATGTTCAACGTTATTCCGCAAACGTTTGTGGCACAGTGTGTGCTGTCGCTGGTTTTCCTTTGTCAATGGCTGCGATGAAGTCTTCATCAACTATGTACATACTTGTGAACGCCAGATTTTTTGCATTCTCCTCTGAATCTTTTCAAGAAGCGCTTTTAACTCTGTCGGTTGCTGTTGACGTTAGGTGCGCTTGTCGATACGTAGGCGAAGAATGGCCATTCTCGGGCCGAATACATCGGTTAGGGTCGACCAGGTGTTCGATCCGATGATGGACTAAGGATCAGGGCTGGAGGGTCTTCCATCAATTGTCGCTCCTGGAACGAGCAGATGGCCGTCGTTGGTCTTCTTGATGGCTGATTCCTTGGTTTGGTTTCTCGAAGGGCAATGACAACGGAGTGGGGCTCCTTGCTGGCCTCATTCAAGACGGTGTGGTCTTCCTTTGACGCAATGGCACGACGTACAAATTCGTAGGTGGCAGTCTTCATGCCTCGAAGGCTTTTGGTCCTGTGCACTGCCGCGTCAGTTTTTGTATTCAGGGTCGTTCAGGTCGCCGTTTGCTTTGGTGCATTTGAAGCTCGAGCTGCGCCGCTTCGGACCTTTCTGTGTGTGTTGTAGCTGACGCCGATCTGCTAGCTAGCCCATTAAATGCACAGTTGATGATTATTTTGATGTACCCTTTTGGGGTTGAAAAACGGAAGTGTTGAGGTAGTAGAGTACGTCAGTGGCGGAGAAAGCGAGATATCCGAGCGATACTTCAAAGCTTCTCGAATGTAGTGGAAGTGTAGGCTGTACGGGATTACCGCGACGGGGTTGTTATGTAAGGAGTGTTTGGACGAGATTTCATTTGCTATCATTGTGCAAAAAGATGACTACATCAGGCTAAAATGTTTAAGCCGCCTTTCTATGTCGCCATGGCTTATGCCGAATTGTTTGAACTTCCTACATGGGAGTCTCTTGAGATAGTGCAGCCTCTACACAGCCGTTGAAACTCGCCCACTATGGGTATGACATTCTCACGATACAATCTCTGGCATGTTATTGTGCTCTATCCAGGACGTTTTCCGACCTTATAAAAGCAGATATGTAATAAGGGGGAGCTTCCAATTCATAATACAGGGAAATCACAGAAACCAATTTCATCGTGAACTGTGCCTTTAAGGAGGCGATTACATCCACTGTACGCCGGATTTTCTTCAGTTTCGCCCCTTCGCCACTTCGGGACCAGTGTTTGGATGAACGCACTAATATAGTACTTTCGAGGGGAATCCAAACATTATTTCTTCTAGATGGGGAATCATACTTGAAAGTGCCGATCAATTATTCAGAATTTCAGAATATTTCACAAAAAACAAGATCTTGCAACATCTCGGTTAACTTTTACGCTGGACATTATCATTTTTGAGGATTTTCAATTGTCTTCTCTAACGACTAGATGCCATAACTCTGGAACTGTTTCCTTCATAGAAAAAAATGTGACATAACAACTGGAAACAACAAAAAATAGTCAAATTTAGTCAACTCTGCTGCTGATGAATCATTTCCGAGGAATCCCGAGCGACACTCCTAGGATCAAGGTGGAACTCGGGTGACGGTGAATTTGCTCACATAAAATCAGCCAGTACTGGACTGTTGACAGAATAATCATAAACTCAGGGTATCCATCGGTAATTGATTTCTATCGTTTTAGAGAGAATCCTGATCAAGATATCCTATTCAAACGTCACTTCTCTGGACTTAGATGTTGTACCTCAGAAATGCTCTTGTTGCACTAATCAGTTTCTCAATGCTGATACAGGCACGAAGGCAAGAAATCCTTGCCTGGCCTATTTCCTGTAACTCAGAAAGTAAAACATTTTCAGGGAGTTCAAAAAATCATTTATAGCGTAATAAAGAGTGTTATGGAACTGCTCTCTCAACATCATTACTTTGTCTGTCGACAGAAGAACAACAGAGCAGCAACAAAATTAAGGAAGCAAGCACGTCAGATCGCTGTCAATCCGCAATCAAACGTAATTTGAAGACATTTCGAAGTTCACTACGAGCAGGGGAGATTAAATCCTCAAATGTGCTCCCATTATCCGTTACATCAGTCGATTTTGATTAATGGCAGCGTTACCGCGATGGTAGAAAAGAAAGATCATCAATTCTCCACCACCCAGCAGGCAGAGCAACTCCAAGGAACGTCACAATCAGTCTAGAAAACGAAGCGGAGTCCTCATAGCTAGCGCCCTTACAACGATAGATTTTTAAATGTAGCAGTGCTATCAAAAATAAACCCGTCGGATACCATCTCTCTATAACTCTGCAAACAAGGGAATTCCAAGAAGTTGTTTTGAATTGATGTTTTTGTTAACTGCTGTTATTTCGCCGCAGTACGCGATCCGCAGCTCTCGCAAGGGTGACGAGTTATTTCATGGGGCTCGAACCCGTACTTGTGCTATCCGGGCACCGCGCTTTTATCCATTACACTACCGTGATTTCGCTTGCTCTCGCCTTCTCACTTCCCTATATGCCATAACTTATATGCCATAAAGTATCAACATTCACACGTACAATCGGCCAATATCAGCAATGAACCCTTAAGCTGTAATGCTTACTTGATGGAACTTGTTTCGACTTGAAGATTTTGTTAACTGATGTTACTTCGTCGCAGTACGCGATGCGGATGTCTCACAAGGTTGGCGAGTTATAACAAACGGACAAAAACATCCAGTCAAAACAAGTTCTATCAAGTAAAGCTTACAGCTTAACGGTCTAGTGCTGATTTTAGACGACCGGCTCAATACGTTGTACGTGAGTGCTGATACTGATATGGCATGTAAGCCATTAAGAAGGCGAGCATAAGCGGGCTCTCGGTAGTGTGATGGGTAAGAGCATGGTGCCCAGATAGCACAAGCACGGGTTCGAGTCTCGTCCGAGGTCGAAGTTTTGTTCATAACTCGCCAAATGAAATCTCGAGAAATCTGAAGATCACATCCAGAAGACAAAGAGGGATACTCTACTCTGATTCTGTTATATCTATACATACCTGAGAGCTGGAGAAGTAGCAACAAAAAGAAACACAGAGATTGGTTCGCTATAACACTGCAACCAAAATAACCTGAGGAACTGCAAGCAGACGAGGTTTAATCCTCAAAGGAATAGTTGGAGATAAAAATGTTCTTTAAGAATCCCATCCGAGTAGGATGAACCCGTCACCTAAGGGTAGGAAAAGAGTCGCTGTCGAGTCGGAAGCGTTGAGATATGGAGTAATTGGGGCCGCAAACTCGGCTCAGCCGAGGTACAAATTCAAAGGCGGACGAATTCTCACGGCGTTATAGAGACTTTAGAGGTTTCGCGACGCCAAGTTATCGTGCGCTCCTCTAAACTTGACCGCTCGCCCAACTGATCTTCTGTCACGGATTAATCTTGTATGGGTGCAACAACACGGCTCGACTCAGAGATTTACCTCAAACTCGGGTGACTGAACGAAAATAACTCGAACAAAAACTTGAGTGAAAATAAAAGGACAACAGTCATCAGCAACACGAAAAAGAAACTTTCATACAGGAATTGATGAAGTAGTTAAGGTTTGGCCCGATTCTTAGCCCAGACCGAGATTCACGATCGATTCCGCACACTATTCGTAGATCCTGAAGGATATGCATTCTTCTAGGGAAGGGTTTTGTCTTTGCATGATATGGCTAAAATAGTAGTGTAGAACACTATAACAAGAACTTGAGAACAAAAAACTTCCTGCGAACCTGCGCAGAGCTGTGGTCGCTTTCACGGCATATTATCGGCGCAAGACGTACAAGCCTCCCGCAAGCAGATTACTGTAGCCAGCTGTACGCAATGGCGCAGCTTGCTCCTCCCAGCAACTTATGTTTTTGTCCACCCGCTCTCTGTACTGCTTTCTTGGAGTTTTTCCTTCAAAAACGCCGATTTCCGCGTTTTCTTCGCCACTTTAGCCCTATTCTAGAATGCCACTTCTTAGCCATTCAGGAGCAGATATTTTAAAACTATCACGAACTGTGCCCCAAATTATGCTCCCGTTAAAATTCTCGTTGCTGACAGAATGAGCCTGAATGAGCTCGAAGAACGCGTAAGGTAAAAATTCTCTACCACAGTGCATTTAGAAAAAATCGGAGGAACTTCATAATTTATTCAAGCAAACAATGTGGACTATTCTATTTTGCTGCAATCACTTCAGTTAGCTTTTGCCTGTAGGCAAAATAACCCCTAAAGGAGAAAGGGCAAGGGTGTCAGTTCTTTATCACATCGCAAACACCAAAATCCAGCGGATCTTGAAAACTGCATCTGGCAAATGAGATGAAATTCCGTAGTGTGATCTCGC